TGCTAGGTGACCTCTTCGTCTTTATTGTGAGGTAGGATTGTACTCTTCGTCTTTGGATTCTAGTTCATACCATACACGGTCCGCACGATGGGAATTCGGTGGCAACGTGAGTAGTGAACGATCATCAGTAGTCTAAAATTTGATAGCTAAATTTAACTCTAAAATTCCAATTTCACAATCAAAATTAAAAATTTACAAATTACTAAAATACGTACTTCCAAAGTCCTAAAAAAATGTGAATCACAAGTGTTAATATTAAATTGTTATCTCTATACGAAGGAACTCGTGGTCAATTTCACAACTCGTGTTCATGATATAGGCTGATTGCATAAAATTTGAATGATTGTGCCCTTATTCGGTCAAATTGGAGGTTTATGATCCGGGTCTAAAAAATGTGAATCACAAGTATGGATATTAAAATTCCATCTATATGTTAAGTAAATTATTGTCAATTTTACTACTCGTGTTCATTATATAGGCTGATTACATTTCAAATGATTGTATCCCTAATGGGTCGAATAGGGGTTTTTATGATCCGGGTCTAAAAAATGTGAATCACAAATGTGAATATTAAAATTTCATCTATATATTAAGTAACTCGTGGTCAATTTCACAATTCGTGTTCATGATATATGCTACTTGCATTTCAGAAGATTGTATCCTTACCAGGTCGAATTGGGGTTTTTATGATCCGGATCTAAAAAATGTGAATCACGAGTGTTAATATTAAATTGTTATCTCTATATTAAGGAACTCGTGGTCAATTTCACAACTCATGTTCATGATATAGACTGATTGCATAAAATTTGAATGATTGTGCCTTATTGGGTCAAATTGGAGGTTTTATAATCCGGCACATAAAGTATTGAATTTTGGGTCACTTTATTTTCGTGCAGATATGGTTGGATAGAATATTGAATTTTGATTGAATTATATATGATAAAATTTTATCTGATTCATTTTATCTAATTGAACTTATCTAATTAAATTTTATCTGATTATAAATTTTATCTAATAAATACTTCTAACGTTATGGTTTACATAAAACAAAATTTATCTCGAATATAAAATTTCTTAAAATAACAATTTAATTTATAAAATTTAATTTATAAAATTTAATTTATAAAATTTCTTAAAATAAAACAAAATATATGTATTTTCAAATATAAAATTTTTAAACAACATCCCTAGTCGGATGTGGGCTATCCGACAGTTTTTTTTTTGTTTTTATTTATTTTTTATTTTTTATTTCTTTTAATTACACATTATTAGGCATTAAAAAAATTCAAACACCCCTAGTCGGATTACACAGTTCCGACTAGGTTTTATTTATTTTTATTTTTTTTAATTCATTCGGATCAAACAAATAATGGAAACAAAAAATTCAAACCCCCTAGTCGGATTCCACAATTCCGACTAGGTACTCATTAATTTGGAAGGCCTCCCTAGTCGGATTTGCCAAATCCGACTCCCGTAATTTGGTAACCTAATTGCAAGTCCCGCAATTTGGATTGTCAGACGGGAAAACCCCGTATTTTGGTAATTTCCTCCTTCGTGTGCACTACTGTGCGCACCTATTCCGTGACCTTTTTCTCTTGGAGTGGATGTGTGATCATGCGCTTGATTCTTGGTTTTATACAATTTCCTTGGTTAAAAAAAGTTATGTCTGAACTGTTTGGATCGGCTGATTTTATGCTAATTTATGAAGAAGAAAAAATGTAAAATATTTTACATTAATAAAATAAAGAAAAGTTATACGAAAAATAACTAAAATGATCCTCTAAGTAACTTCAACCAATACAGTCAGAAAAGTAACTTCAATATTACATTTTCTTGTTTATTACACAATTCAGCGCACAAAATCAAAAGTTATGCGTTTGGTGATAAAGTTAGTTGACAAGTCTGATAAGCCAAAAACATGGTCACCTAATAGGCCCTGTGGTAGTAATACACTAATACTCATACACATACCTTGTACATGAGGAATATATCATAAATAATTTCATTGTGTAAACTTGTGAAAATGAAACAAAGCATAGAAACACTATTATTAAGGGTGAGATGAAAATATTATAGTGCTAGTGCAAAATTAATGTTACATGATAACGAAAGAATAATATGGAAAAATATTTAAAGGAAGTGAAAGATGATAAAGATTAAAACACACGTAATGGCAACGCCTATTAAATTTTGTTGTTGTTGAGTGGTTATGATTTAAAAATTAAAACATTCCGATATAAAAATAAATAATGTTTGAATTTCAATTAAATGTTGTTACTTTAAACCTATGTTTTATTTTGGACTGTTTTTAGTCCCAGATCGGATCAGACAAGACTTTAACAGACTAGACTAGACCAGACTTAAACAGATCAGACAAGATCAGATTAGACTTGGACAATTATAAAATACACAAAGACCTGACATTTATGAGACCAAACTAGACCAGTTCAGAACAGACCAGACCATCAAATTTCAATCCAAAAGAAAACATCCTTACTATCATTAATGAATCATGTCTTTCTAAATCACTCGTGTCCCACGTCTTAGATGATAGTTACAGTCATTTGCATATTCAAACACACACACACACACATTGTCATATATTGATTAGGAAAACAGATATGCTTTAGTAATATTAATGTACGCTTTCAAGCCCGTGTGATGCACGGGCAGTATCTAATTTAGCTAATTTGAAATTTAATTTCTATCGGATCACATGTAATGTGATTTAAAAGAAAAATAAACTTAGTCTAATATAGAGTCTGTTTGATAATACTAAAGTAAATAGAATTAACTTATTTTGCTGAAATTGATTGAATTCTGGTTAAATATATGGAATCTTCTAAATCATGAAAAATATATGTGAAATATATTCCATTTGTGAAACAAAGAAAAAGATATATGAAAAAGAGTTGAATTGGTCTTCTACATAAGCATCTCAAGTAAACATAATTGTTATGAATCCAATAAAAAAAATCTATATTTCTTAATTGTTAGATCTTACGGTTTACTCATAAATAAGAACGTTTTTAATTGAATTAAAATTTCAAGTTTGATTTGGTATGAATTAATATGGTCTATTAGATGTCTGTTTTTTATGTGACTTATTGTTATAATTATTAAAGTTTGATCTGATCTGATTTAATCTAGAACTGAAATCAATCCAATTAAAAACATTCTATTAAAATAAAAGTAGGAATTCGTAAACCTATAAAGATTTTCTAATTTGGATTAGGAATCTATTTCAAAAGGGAAGGCATATTTGAATTTTAGGTGTAAAATAAAGAAACAACCAAAAAAATTTACTTATTTGGTTAAGCTAAACAAATTTACTTGTGAAAATATATATATACTTTATGTTGGTTATAATTTTTAATTACATTTTAATTATTTACTTATTTGAAGCTTACTAAATTATTAATAGGTGTCAAGCTAATAAGTAAACTAATTTGCATATTTGTTTCTATTTAATTCGGTGTAGTATACTAATATAAATTAATTTACATATCAATAGAATTTCACTTTGATAAACAAAAATTATTTTACTTATTTGAAGCTTACCAAATTAATTAAGGTGGATTTATAAGGATTTTTGTTTTCATATCAATATGCAATCAGAAATAGAATCTAATAAAAACAAAAGGTATAAAAATAAGTAAATAATTGTTATATATAATGACATGGCAAGATTATGTGGTGCTTTGTATGCTCTTAAAAAGTTCCTCTTTTATATATATATTGATTTTTTCCAAGATTAATTTCTCTCTCATGTTTGCAACTAAGATGACTCTATTTTTTAATTAAAATGCAAACGTAATTTTTTATTCTTCGGTTTATCAGTGTTTTACCATCTTATATTTTTGAGAAAATTCTCAAAGTATGAGTAAAAATGTTTGAAAATTCCAAAATAGGGTTGTCATGTTTTTTTATTGCCTAAGTAGGTTTAATTACTGCTAAACTTAGACAATAGATCCATGTTTAAATTTTGATACTGCCAAAACATGACATTAATTATTCCTATTTAGGGAATAAAAACGTGATAGTCCCATTTTGAAATATACAAACATTTTTAGTCTCATTTAGAGTAATTTCCCTGATTTTTTATAGTACATGGTAATATATTATGTGCTCACTTTAATACTATGAATGTGTACACATTTCTCATTCGGTGAGTTGCTTAAGTTGGCACAGTTTTATTCAGTGAATGATATCAATAGATGCACTCAATAATATAGTGTATATTTGAATTGAATGGTGAAAATTGTGGCGCTATATAAGCATCAACGACACTTTAATGGTGTTTAATTTATTTTAAGTAACGTGTATTTCCTCCTTAATGAGTATGATCTTTTCCATATTTCTTTTAATTTTTTGTTCACTTTTTTTATTATAAATAGGTAATTGCAGCTCACAATGGTACATAGACTTTTCTGATTTCAAGCACACAATACTTTCTTCATCCTAAGTTCATTTACGTCACTACATCCTCAGGGAATATGGCTTCATGCAATCAAATTATCTTCTTCACTTCCCTCATTGTATTTGGTATGTGCTATATAGTATATATCATATATCTAGTTGAAATGTTGTATTCATTTTATCCTTTATACTCCTTTGGAATTGATACTTGAAAACTCCATTTTCAGTATAAAGTTTTTGGGATTCTATTTCAAATATGAATGATGTTCGGAGTTTTTTTTCTTCTAGAACATAATGTTGTTGAATCTCATGACTCATTTCAACTTTCATGGTTCCCAACTATATACATGTGCAAGTATTTTTACAATTTAGCTGTTATTTACTCCTGATATTTACACCGTACCTTTTAATTATCATTATCTGTTAAATTAATTTATTTTTTCGAATTTTCACTAAGATTACATTTGGCCTCCTTAATATGAATTGCTAACCCAATTTTCAATTATCATCGTCATCATCATTATTTTGAATTTATTATCCTTTTTATTGTTGTTATTATCCTCATCCTCATAATATGGCAGGTATTCTATTCATGAGGAATAATGTTGAAAAAGTTGAGGCTGCAGACATCTTCTGCACACAAGAATGCAACCCTGAAGCGTTGTATATGCTATGCCCACAAAATAACACAAAGATTTACAATATTTGCAAAAATTGTTGCCAGGCTGGACTCCTAAGTTGTCATCTATATCGTGATGATGATAGTCTTATATGTTAATCTCTCAAGACTACGGCTTATGTTATTCCACATTTTGTCATTATTTCACAATAATGACTTCCTTAATTGCTTTATCAAATAAAGCATATAAAGGCTGACTATTTGTTGATGGATTGCTATTTCACAATTGTTCCTAATTTTCAAATATCACTAATGCAGTTATACTTCAATATTGATTGTACAATTTTATGTTTGATACATCACGTAACTATGAAGAGAGTTTTTTGCAACAAAGTGAGGTACCCGGTTGGGAGTTGGGACACAATGATGTGATAATTAATTATGTAAAATAACAGTAAATGATATTATAAAAACAAAATTGATCTTAAAAATCAATATATTTCAATCTATATGCATAAAGTAGTTTTATTTATATTCTCATCGATATTTTACATCTTGACAACTAATCCTAAACAATTAAATTAACAGAAGACTTTACTTAGATTTGTTTATACCATTGAATGGTTAGAATAACTAACAAATTCGCTATTATCGATCACACTATCTATTATCAGCTACGATGATTGTAAAATAATTCTCTAATGTTTAGTGAGTACATGTTATAAATGACACTCTCTGTGCTTGTAAAGGTTTGATAATTTAATCCCTCCAATCTACTTTACCAATTATATTTAAAAAGTATAATTATGTAATTAATATTTTTCTTCGTATAACTAAATGAGACAACTATTAAAGACAAATTTTAAGGAGTATAAATTCTAAAGGGAAATGGTGTTTGTGCATGTTTTTCGTACACACCATTTTACACGCTGGTCGAATTGTCTGTGCACAGACAATTTTTTTCATTTTATGAAGAAATTGCTTTTCACCTCGACAAATCATTCTTTGTCACAGAAAAAATTGTTAATACATATAATGCACTTGGATTGTTTTCTATCACAGACCAGACTTGAATACTTATAAAATACACATAAATCATGTTTATATCAGTTAAGAATGAATCAGACCAGAAAATTCTAGTCCGAACTACATTTGCTAATGGACATTTTTCTAAACGAAAAGTGAAAAGTACGAGTCTGGCCATGATAATGATTTAGAAACGCGACAAATAGCCCGATTGGTAACACTGAAATCGAGAGAGTCAGCTGACTGTGCTGAAATTTATGAAGTTTGGCTGAAGTGAATGTATTGGCTGATTCTGCTGATTTATAAAAAAAAATTAAAATATACTCGGTTCGTCCCACTAAGATTGTCTCATACCAACTTTGGTAAAGTTTGTGTGTCTCTAAATCATTGTTACTTTATTCTAACTTTATCATTTCAATATCAAACACATAAACCACTTTTTATTAATTTGTGTGTCACTCCCTCTTTTCTCATTGTTAGCGGGACAGAGGAAGTATTTCATTAATAAAATAAATAAATAATTATATGAAAAATAGTTGAAATGATCATTTATAGTAACTTCAACAAATACAACCAGAAAAGTAACCACAACCTTACTTATTCTTATTACAATACAATTCAGCGCGTGAAATCAATAGTTACATATTTGGTTAAAAAGGTGGCCGATAAGCCTGATAAGCCGAAAAACAGAATTACTTAACGGACTCAAAGTGGTTTTCTTTGAGCAGCGATGTTGTTTAACACAGTTGAATTCTCGATTAAAAAAAAACTTTAAATTCCTGGTGCAGCCATTGAACAGTGCCTGTAAATCGGAGAAGTGCAGTCATGTAAACCGGAATGACGGGTGCTCTGTCGAGGGTTTCTCTCTTCAAAGAAGAAATCCATTTAAATGGTTTATTTAGACTGCGACGTTGCCCACTCGATTTTCAGTTGTGGCATCTCAATGCTTCGTTTGACAAAAAATGGGAACAAAGAATTGGGAATGATTTGGAGAGGCTTTGGCAGGTCACCGACAAGCCATCGAAGTTGATTATGAGTGTCGAGTTGAAGCTGTAGCTGGTGGTGAAATCTGATAGGCGGCGATGATAGGTACTTGTAGAAGGCTAGGAGTAGGATGCCGCCTCGATCCATGAGTGACAAGGGGACCTATGTCTTCGTGTGCACTACTGTGCGCACCTATTCCGTGACCTTTTTCTCTTGGAGTGGATGTGTGATCATGCGCTTGATTCTTGGTTTTATACAATTTCCTTGGTTAAAAAAAGTTATGTTTGAACTGTTTGGATCGGCTGATTTTATGCTAATTTATGAAGAAGAAAAAATGTAAAATATTTTACATTAATAAAATAAAGAAAAGTTATACGAAAAATAACTAAAATGATCCTCTAAGTAACTTCAACCCATACAGTCAGAAAAGTAACTTCAATATTACATTTTCTTGTTTATTACACAATTCAGCGCACAAAATCAAAAGTTATGCGTTTGGTGAAAAAGTTAGTTGACAAGTCTGATAAGCCAAAAACATGGTCACCTAATAGGCCCTGTGGTAGTAATACACTAATACTCATACACATACCTTGTACATGAGGAATATATCATAAATAATTTCATTGTGAAAACTTGTGAAAATGAAACAAAGCATAGAAACACTATTATTAAGGGTGAGATGAAAACATTATAGTGATAGTGCAAAATTAATGTTACATGATAACGAAAGAATAATATGGAAAAATATTTAAAGGAAGTGAAAGATGATAAAGATTAAAACACACGTAATGGCAACGCCTATTAAATTTTGTTGTTGTTGAGTGGTTATGATTTAAAAATTAAAACATTCCGATATAAAAATAAATAATGTTTGAATTTCAATTAAATGTTGTTACTTTAAACCTATGTTTTATTTTGGACTGTTTTTAGTCCCAGATCGGACCAGACAAGACTTTAACAGACTAGACTAGACCTGACTTAAACAGATCAGACAAGATCAGATTAGACTTGGACCATTATAAAATACACAAAGACCTGACATTTATGAGACCAGACTAGACCAGTTCAGAACAGACCAGACCAGCAAATTTCAATCCAAAAGAAAGCATCCTTACTATCATTAATGAATCATGTCTTTCTAAATCACTCATGTGTCCCACGTCTTAGATGATAGTTACAGTCATTTGCATATTCAAACACACACACACACACACATTGTCATATATTGATTAGGAAAACAGATATGCTTTAGTAATATTAATGTACGCTTTCAAGCCCGTGTGATGCACGGGCAGTATCTAATTTAGCTAATTTGAAATTTAATTTATATCGGATCACATGTAATGTGATTTAAAAGAAAAATAAACTTAGTCTAATATAGAGTCTGTTTGATAATACTAAAGCAAATAGAATTAACTTATTTTGCTTAAATTGATTGAATTCTGGTTAAATAGGTGGAATCTTCTGAATCATGAAAAATATATGTGAAATATATTCCATTTGTGAAACAAAGAAAAAGATATATGAAAAAGAGTTAAATTGGTCTTCTACATAAGCATCTCAAGTAAACATAATTGTTATGAATCCAATAAAAAAATCTATATTTCTTAATTGTTAGATCTTACGGTTTACTCATTAATAAGAACGTTTTTAATTGAATTAAAATTTCAAGTTTGATTTGGTATGAATTAATATGGTCTATTAGATGTCTGTTTTTTTATGTGACTTATTGTTATAATTATTAAAGTTTGATCTCATCTGATTTAATCTAGAACTGAAATCAATCCAATTAAAAACATTCTATTAAACTAAAAGTAGGAATTCGTAAACCTATAAAGATTTTCTAATTTGGATTAGGAATCTATTACAAAAGTGAAGGCATATTTGAATTTTAGGTGTAAAATAAAGAAACAACCAAAAAAATTTACTTATTTGGCTAATTTAAGCTAAACAAATTTACTTGTGAAAATATATATATACTTTATGTTGGTTATAATTTTTAATTTCATTTTAATTATTTACTTATTTGAAGCTTACTAATTTATTAATAGGTGTCAAACTAATAAGTAAACTAATTTGCATATTTGTTTCTATTTAATTCGGTGTAGTAAACTAATATAAATTAGTTTACATATCAATAAACGTTATTAGAATTTCACTTTGATAAACAAAAATTATTTTACTTATTTGAAGCTTACCAAATTAATTAAGGTGGATTTATAAGGATTTTTGTTTCCATATCAATATGCAATCAGAAATAGAATCTAATAAAAACAAAAGGTATAAAAATAAGTAAATAATTGTTATATATAATGACATGGCAGGATTATGTGGTGCTTTGTATGCTCTTAAAAAGTTCCTCTTTTATATATATATTGATTTTTTCCAAGATTAATTTCTGACTCATGTTTGCATCTATGATGACTCTATTTTTTAATTAAAACGCAAACGTAATTTTTTATTCTTCGGTTTATCAGTGTTTTACCATCTTATATTTTTGAGAAAATTCTCAAAGTATGAGTAAAAATGTTTGAGAATTCCAAAATAGGGTTGTCATATTTTTTTATTGCCTAAGTAGGTTTAATTACTTCTAAACTTAGACAATAAAGCCATGTTTAAAGTTTGATATTGCCAAAACATGACATTAATTATTCCTATTTAGGGAATAAAAACGTGATAGTCCCATTTTGAAATATACAAACATTTTTAGTCTCATTTAGAGTAATTTCCCTGATTTTTTATAGTACATGGTAATATATTATGTGCTCACTTTAATACTATGAATGTGTACACATTTCTCATTCCGTGAGTTGCTTAAGTTGGCCCAGTTTTATTCAGTGAATAGAATCAATAGATGTACTCAATAATATAGTGTATATTTGAATTGAATGGTGAAAATTGTGGCGTTATATAAGCATCAACGACACTTTAATGGTGTTTAATTTATTTTAAGTAACGTGTATTTCCTCCTTAATGAGTAAGATCTTTTCCATATTTCTTTTAATTTTTTGTTCCCTTTTTTATTATAAATAAGTAATTGCAGCTCACAATGGTACATAGACTTTTCTGATTTCAAACACACAATACTTTCTTCATCCTAAGTTCATTTACGTCACTACATCCTCAGGGAATATGGCTTCATGCAATCAAATTATCTTCTTCACTTCCCTCATTGTAATTGGTATGTGCTATATAGTATATATCATATATCTAGTTGAAATGTTGTATTCATTTTATCCTTTATACTCCTTTGGAATTGACACTTGAAAACTCCATTTTCAGTATAAAGTTTTTGGGATTCTATTTA